GCCTTTTAAAGACAACTGGATTTTAGAGTCAACTCCGACATATATATTGGATGATGGTAAGATGATAATCGTCATTTTGTACCAACAGGTGCAAAGTGTATTGGTTATCTACTAATCACATATGATTAGTTATATGCTAATACTTATTATTTTCTTTGATCTATTTTAAAATAAACTGATATAAGAGTATAAAAATTCAAGTTACTTTTATTGGCTGTTAGATTCATTACAACAAGAAGTATAATTACGTTTCATAGGAAATATAATATTCTTAAAAACGACGAAATATAATCAGGATAATTATAGAGTTATAATTAATTTTCTGAAATTACATGTTGTGTATTAAATCAGAAGGAAACATTACACTTATTCTAATGATATGTTTAGAAGAACACCTTTTTTTTTTCTTTTGACTTATTGACATACATAGATAATTTTAGCTCAGTACATCCAAAGTTTTTCTCGGTAAGCGCGAGTTATTCAACAGAGAAGATATCTTCATATATTCAATGATGGCAATGATTGAATCATGGTTTATTCCATCGGACATTCTCATGATTATTTTTCTTTCTTTGGGAATGATTCTTTCTCTTATTTTCTTATGTATTATCATTATTGATAAAACATGTCATACAATTTTCTTTATATTAATTGGCAATACATGTGTAGCCACATTTCTTTTTGGATTTAATATGCTTTTTATGGTTATTTTCGCACTTACAAATGATATAAAACAAATTGAATATCAAGATAGATATTGTATTCTTCGTGCTTATATTGGTTATGTAACATGTCCTGCATATAATTATTCATTTTTATTACAATCGATATATAGGTATTTAACGGTTGTTCATCCAAATCGTCCATTTTGGCAATCAGTAAAATTTCAAATTTTATCTCTTATGTCAATATGGATATTTTGTTTTATTTATCCATTTGTATTTTTATTTAAAAATGAAATTATTTATATTGTTGACAATCAAATATGTCAAATACCACTTCAAGGTTCTTTCTATATGCTTTATTTAACATCTAATGCTTATGTAATTCCAATCTCATTGGTTATATTTACTTATATAAAATTAATTCGATATGTTCGTCAAATGAGTAAACGTGTTGTATCTGCAAATACTTTATCTCGTGCTCGAAAAGAATTACAAATGGTTCGACGTATAGTTATACTTGTTATGATTTTAGTATTTGTTTGTTTACCTTATGAAATTTTTACTATTATGTCATTATTTACTAATGCACCGAAATATGATTTTCGAATTGCTTATCTATTTGTTGATTTATCATATGCATTGGTTATGATTTGTTTATTTCAATTTACCGAACCAGTTAAAACATACATTATGAAAAAACTAAAACGACCAACAGATATAATCGATGTGGCAAGAATAGGATGAATTAATTGAATGAACTGTCTTTATGATGTGTGTGTGTGTCTTTTTGTTATCCTACAAATATATTCTAAGTCATATTGTTTATTAATTCAATTATGTAAATGTGAGTTGATGATAAGAATATTCATATCAATGACATTTAAAAATGATTACCGACAAGACTGATTCGGAATGAAAATATTATTATGTTATAAAATAAACAATAGAAATTGTGAAAAAAGTTTTGTTATATTTAATTATTATCGATAAAATATAAAGAACATGCGATAATTCATATAGATATAATTTGTTGCTCAGTAGTAACATCAATAGTTTGTCGTACTAGAAAAGAATAAAAAGAAAAACACAATAAATATAGTAATCAATAACATACAGCTAGAAGGAAGGCAAATGGACAATTTGCTCATTTTATTTTGGCGTTCGCCTATCATACTTTTGTGCTGGTTAATCGTTGCCTATATTAAACCTGCATTCTTCTGAAATTGTTGTACTTATCTGTGAATTATTTAATAAAAGTCTTTGCTTTTCATCCAATTCAGCTTAGTTTCGTCAAGAAATGTTATGAATATCAGTAGAAAAATCAATGGAAGAAAGTGCAGATTAGATATTTCCAGTACCCTAGCACTTATTCAGAACTTAAGTGGGTTTGAATCGTGTGTGGGTGTGGGATGGGCTTCGGTGGGGTGAGTGTAGGCGTGGTTGAAGGTGAAGATATGAGAGATGTACAACACCCACATCCATCCCTTAGTCTCCTTAGTTCCCATAGACTGTTATTCCCTTTAGTCTCCTTAGCCCATACCCATACCCTTTTTGTAGAAAGTGAGACTGATTTTTGTTTTCAAACCTCAGTTTGAAATAAAAAAGAGTATAGACTTGAAATTGGAGTTTCATTTTATTGTGGAAGGAAAAAAAACAATGGTAGAAAAGGAAATATAGTTTGAGGAAAATTGAAACAATCATAAGCGTAACTTTTAACAGCTTCCATTGAATCAAAAACAACTAGTAACCACTTTGAAAGATATTGGACAATTAGCCATCGAATTTTGACAGGTGAAGTCGAGAGTCATGTCTGATCCACTCAAATAGCTTGGTGTTGTCATCGAGTAGCAGTCTTGTTTCTCTACATATAATTGCAGTGAATTACTTGAAACTAATTTGATATTGTATTTAGAACCGTCGCGCGACCCCATTTGGATGCTGTCTAGTCGAATTCTTTGACCTGGAGAGCAAGAACGAGTAACACGCGTATATGGCGCGTTACTAAGCAAACTGTTAGGCAATGTTTGTGAACTACAGCCTATACAATTACACGCCAAGCTCGCACCGATGTTCAAAAAAACCATGATTGAAAGAGCTGTAATCGTTAGTGTAGACATCATATTAGGTTAAATTGATGATCTAAGAAGAAGAGATACAAAATATAGTCCTGATCCCAGGTTGATGAATCCGAT